TTATCACGTGTGCTTCACACGCACAAGGTCCCCGGTTCGAACCCGGGCGGGAACAATTCTCGTTTTTTTTTTCTTTCTGGTTTGAAAGCTAAAAAACACTATTTGAAAATTTTCTTTCGCTTAAGTAAAATTATTAATTTTTGATATTTGTCTTTAAAATCACTCAATAGCAATTTCCCAAATAACTAACCAGCAGAAAAAACGCAAGCAAAACGCTAAGAAATCGCTTCAAAAAGCTTTACAGAAACTTAACAGTAGCATAAAACATTGCCATGCAAAACTTATGGTTATAATAGCAGTATGAACAAAAGCTTAAAGCTTCTTGTTAAAACAGCTGCAAGTCATGTTATTATATTGAATATAATTAATATTGTAGTATGCACTTCACAGTTGTTAAAATGTTTATTTGATCAATAATTATGAAATAAATAAGCCCCTTTTTCCATTTTGTGCGTTACTATTTCTTTAATTTATTCATGACCTTTACTGACCCATGAAAAAATAAATAGAGAGAGAGAGAGTGACAGAGAATGCAAAACAGCCCTTTGCTAACTCGCTCTTGCTCTCTTACTCAGCTCTTCGAATTTGTAAGAGAGAACTTTTTAGTGAGAAATATAGACTTACCATGCGCTTTATGCACAGAAAGCTTTCTGCAAACAAAACGTAAAAGCTTTTTGCTAACACAATGCCGACAATACCAAAAACCAAACACTACTTTACTTATCAGCGTTATAAACAAATAATTTTTGCAGCTGCCGCTTCCCGTTTATCTGAAAGCAGGAGCCCAATATTCTTATCATTAAACTTTTACAAATTTCATTGAGAAATCATCAAAACAAAACAAAAACGCGCACATTGCCGGCAAAAGCACAAAACAAATCGCTGACGCGTCCGACAGCTGTGAGAACTTCGCGATAACTAAAAACGAATTTTACGAGCGATTGAACTTGCCCCAAACATCCCGCCTCTACCCAGTGCACCATTTGCCTCAGCTGTTTTTGTTTATTTACAATACGCATAGAGCCGGGTTTGAAGAATTCGATTTCAGAATGAATAACAAAACTGATCATGCTCAGGTTTCCCAATATGGGCATTTCATTACAAAATATTTACAAAAATACCCGCGGCACGCTGGGTAAGTAGACTGTTAGGAAAAATGCCCACATACCAATATTTTTTATATGTATACTCGAAATTGTGAAATAGTAGCAATAAACTAAAACTGGTTATTATGTGGAAGATATTTGAGCTGTAGATTTTTTACATTATATACATACATACATATAAATACGTAGATTTTATATTAGAGAAAGACTTGATTCAGCTTTACAAAATCGTGTTTTATTTTGTCGTTTAAGATTAAATAATTTAATTAACAAATGCTATACACAACAACGCGTAACTGTGGTATACAAATTGTGCCTGTTGGGGGAGCTCATAAATATAGTATAAACAGCGTCAGGAGGAGAGAATTAAACGTACATAGACTAGCGCGTACATAAACCTAGCTAGAGTTACAACTAAGACGTCCGCCTAGTCCCGCGTGTGATCGCGTATCCAGTCCAGATACTCTGTGACCCGTGTGTAGACACCTGGATAGCCGGGCTCGCCGCACTTGTTGCCAAAGGAGACCACGCCCAGTTGCACCCAGTGCGAATCGTAGCGCATCATCAGTGGACCTCCGGAGTCGCCCTTGGATAATAAGAGATTCTTTAGTATGCTAAGATCGCCGAAGCTCTAGAGCAACCTACCTGACACGCATCAACTCCTCCGTCGGAATAGCCAGCGCACAAGAAGTTCTCATTGATGGGCTGGAAGTAGCTGCGATCACAGTCCTCGTTCCGCCAGATGGGCAGCTCCGCCTGCCGCTGGCTGGTGGATTCCTTGCCGCCATAGTAGGTGGTGCCCCAGCCCACGACGGTGGCCCGGCGTCCGGGCAAACGTTCCTTGGGCGGCATCCGACCACCGCGCGGCAAACAAACCGGTATCACATACTTGGACTTGCGCACGGGCTTATCCAGCACGAGTATTGCTATGTCATTATAGAAGCCAATGCGCGAGAAGCTGAAAGGAGTCGGACATCGGATTAGTTTGCTTGAGCTTGAGAGCGTTGAGAGCATTTACCGTTCGTGCGTGCGCACCTCCTTCACGGCAAAGGTAACCGGATCGGACGGCTCGGCATCTGTGGACAGATCTATGTCTCCTAAGCGTACGGTAAACTGGCGTGCAGCAAACCTGAAAAGGAATAGAACAATTGAGAGCATTATTTTATATAATAATCTAAATCCTTTTCCAAGGATCCCTAATCTTCACTTACGGCTTTTGTCTGGAATCCCTGGTGCAATGCGCCGCAGTCAAAATGTACTTGGAGCCAATTAGAGATCCGCCGCACCAGAATTCCGTGCGCTTGGGACCGTGCAGGAAGATGGCGGCCATCCAGGGCCACTGGCCATTGGGCGCCTCCACGCCGCCCACAATGCGACCACTCGAATACTCCTGCTGACCGCACTCGTCGGGATCAACGATGTTGTTGGCTATCTCGTCCAGGTTCTCTGGCTCCAGTGGCGACTCTGTGGTTGTGGTGGTTGTTGTTGTCGGCGGTTTCTTTTGGGGAATGAGCACCAGGCCGGAGGTGGGCCTGGCCGTCGGCCGCTGTGTGGTGCGCTTGGTGGGCTCCAGGGTGGTTGTGCTCGCTGGCGTCCTGGTGGTCAGCTTCAGGGGACGCTGGGTCGTCAGCACCGTGGAGCTCTCAGAGGCGGATGCGGTCACGGGGCAACAGACGCCGGGCACAAAGAGGCTCTTAAAACAGAGCGACTCCCGCAGGCTGCTCAAATTGAGGAGCAGGGCGGGGCAGCTGCTCAGATCCTCGCAACGACCCGGTTTGCCGCTGGGCGTCTTGCAATAGTTCTCCACATCCTTCGCCGTGCCGGCCTCCTCGCTGGCCAAGGCCAGTTGATCGAGCGGACGCAGCGTGGTGCTAGGGGACTGGGTGGTGCGCGGCGTGGTGGGTATTTTGATCTTCTGCTGGGACTGTGGCGTCGTCTGAGTCAACTCCTCGTTGGGCTTCTTCACCTTTTGCTTGTTTTTGTTCTTCTTGCGCTTCTTCTTCTGCTGCTGCTTCGCTTCCTTGTTCTCCACAAACATGGGCTTGCCTGGCGCCTGCTCCACCTGGCCGATGCGCTTCGTGGCGACCTGTATGGCGCTCAAATTGGCGGGCTTGCCCGCTGGCAGCAGACTGTTGGCGGAGAGTGTAGCGGTGGATGTGTCCAAAATCTTACCAGAGATGCCCGGCAAGGGATCAGCTTTGGCCAGGGGCGAGGCAGTTGTGGAGTCGTGGCTCTGCTCTGTGGCTTTAGTTTCGGTGCTAGTGGTGCTGCTGCTGGTGGTGCTGCTAGTGCTGCTGCTGGTGGTGGTGGTGGTGCTGCTGCTGCTGCTGCTCTCTCCATCAGCTTTGCTGTTACCCGCATTCTCCGTTTTGCTCTCCTGACCACCGCGCGTCATATCCACGAGTATGTGCCCAACATGGTTCAGCGCTCCGAGCGTCTCGGAGATGCGATGAAATGTGGATGGGGAAAGCAAGCGGGGCAGAGACTCATTGCTGCCGTCGGCGCTGCTGCCCGCAGCTGGCTCCTCGTCGCTGTCGTAGTATTCACTGGAGCCCTCCGCGTCATCCTCGTCGTCATCCTCGCTGGCATTGCTGCTGCTGCTGCCGCTGCTAGCCGAGTAGGAGCTGTACTCCAGTTCCGCGGCCAGCTGGCGGCCCAGGCGCTTGTCGTGCAGGTGCGGCTGAAAGAAAGACGCTGCCTTAATAGTTAAAGTTATGAATGTCCGTGGTAAGCAAAGTGCACAGAAGCCACTTACCATCGTTCGTCAAGTGCTGCGGCTGCTCATCGTCCTCAGCGGGAGCTTGTGCCTGCACCAAGATGCCAGCCCCAAGTGCTGTAAGCATATTGAATAACAATATTTGAATAAAGACAGATGCATTGCTTATTTTTGGCATTAATTAAGATTGTATATTAGAGACAAATTTGTTTTATTTTTTATTAAAAATAAAATGGGCTCTAAAAGCTATTGGAAACTCTATCAATTATTATAAAGGAAACTCAGAGCTGAGGTGAATAGAATTGGTAGAATTATTGCTCTACACTAGAATCCCTTTATATTATTATTATTAGACTATCTGTGATGCCAAGAAAATACATAAATAGTACACTAAATAATAAAGGCTTTAAAAATAAAAAGGAAAGTTTATTTTTTAAAGTTATGAGAGATCTTCAAATTATGAGACATCGTATTGCACTGAAACAAATAAAAAGGAATACGAATAAACCGTCTCTCACACAACAATTAAATCTATCTTTATTCTTTGTAAAATCTGCATCTGCATTAAAGTATTTCAAATTTCGATTCTTAGGCTCTGCAATAAGTTATATTTTATACAAATTAGTCGACAAATAATATGTTTGATTCAAGTTTTTCGTTTTCAGTTATTTGGTTAGAGTTAAGTTAGTTAAGTTCAGTTAAGAGAATCAAATGGTTATTATGCCTATGTGCATACATAATTGTTCTTTCAGAGCTCAACACTCGCTCTTCGACCAATAAAATACGCACCAGCCTATATTATGTTAAAGAAAATGCGGAATGGCAAATATATATAACATATGGTATACATATATCAACTCATTTCAACAAATATCCGATATCTTATCAAAAATATATTATCATACAGACAATCTGAAATTCTGATATTTAATAAAACAAAGTATAACATTATCTTATATTTTCCCTTATACATAGCAGACTTCAGTTTAACTAACTAACTTATTAGACGCTAGAGTTTATATCAAATAAAAACTAGCTGCAGGCTCTAACAGCCCTTCGGCCTAGATAAACTATCATTACTATCATTTACCAGATGTCCATTCCTCAACTCCCATCAAACTATTTGTTACTAACTGACCTAAGTCAAAATTCAAATTGAAAACTTATGCAAAAGCCCTTTCGGGTTGGGTAATGTCTCGAATTGGCATTACGCATCTGCAGTGCGGCAAAAAATGAGAAAGTATGTCGCTTGAGTCTCTCGCGCGTACAGCTCTATACATTGCTGTGTAACCGTGCCCTGCCCTGCTACGCCCCGTCCCGTCCACCGTCCCGCCCACTGTGTTGGCCATGCATATCCGCGTGTAGCTCCTCAACTGAAGCGTTTAATGTTTATTTAGCTGCCTCTGTGACATAATCGCAGTTCGCATTGGTTACGCGCCCATCAAATGACTTGCAAGTTGATTGTTTCTCGGCGCTCAGAGCTCCCTATGCTTAAGTTAAGTTCAGTTGCACATTTTGCATAAATGCTAAAGCTGAAGCTGAAGCTGCAGCTCAAGGTCGCTTTAAGATTTCTCCAACTTGGAGATTATTCAAGATTTATCTGTGCGATCTGACGAATCACTTAGGCTGTTACAGTTTGACTTGAAGTTGTCTTTGTATTTACTTTTGTATTATTTACTTTTTTTTTTTGTGCGCCGCTCATTAACATTTTTCGAGGCGCGCACTGCAACTTTGTCACTTTCACTTGGGAATAAAATTGCTCATGCCAATGCCAAATTGTTTTTGTTTTTTTTTTAGTTGACTTGATTTTTTGTTTAATTTTTTGTTTCTGTTAATTTTAGTTTTCAGCCTGCGCTTCACAATAAAATGTTGAGCAGTTATTCGTAAAGCTAAACTAATTTAAGATGGAATGTAAATACCTTGAACTATAGGCAATGCAAACTAAGGTATATTTGTATAATGAGAAAATGTGCAAAGAATTCTTTCTTTATATTCAAAGCTAGATTAAGAATTTAATTTTTGAGTTTTAATGTGACATAATATTGTTCTTTTAGTTTTTTAAAGATTTATAATATTGCTAAAATTAATTTATATATTTTTTTAAATATTTTTAAAGCAAGGTATGAGGTCAAATTTGAAGTAATTTTTATTTTAAAACAATTTAAATATGTAAAAAATTTTGAAACAAAAAAATTAAAATATTTTACAATTTTTTTCCAAAGTATATTTAAAAGTTTATTATTTAAAAAAAATAATAATAAAATAATATTATGATAAACTACAAATCAAAAATAAATGAATAATCAATTTTCTAATATTCTTTTAAAGTTATAAATCAGGGTAATAAATTGTAAAAGTTTAATAAAATATATAAACTCAATGTATAGGTATGTATATATGTATAACAGCCTCTGCTGAGCGTAATCAATTCAAATGTGCAAATCGTTGTTAAAACTGCAAGCAACAATCAAGCAGCTGTTTCTATTATTATTTTGCTGCAATGCCAATGAAAGTGAAAATCCCGGCTAACCGGCTGGGGAAACTGAAAATAGCTAGCGTACCGGGGAAAAATTGCAATTGAGCAATGGCCACAGATGCGATGCGACAATAAAAAGCGACAACGGACGAAAGAGAAAAAGAAACAAAGACAAAAAAAAAAAAGGAAAAAAAGGCAGCTGCAATAACTTCCGAAGCGACAAATAAATATAACATTAAATTGTAGACAAGAAACACGAATTGCTGGAGGAGTTTGGCTTTGTGCAGCGAGCGATGACAGCAACATTTCTTTTGTTGTTATTATTTTTGTAGCTTCTTCTGCTTTTTGTTTTTATAAAAAAAAAAAAAATAAGTAGTTGCATAATATGTTTGGATAGGCTGAGCGGTTGTTGCGGTAATACCGAAAAGTCACAAACTGCCAATGCTCGAAATGCACAAAGCGTCGCTCTTTGCTTCGCTCTCCCTCTCTCTCTCTCTCTCTCTCTCTCTCTCTCTCTCTCTCTCTCTCTCTCTCTCTCACTCTGTATCTGTATCTGGTAAATGTTAATTTGTAGCCACAACTTTTTTGTGCAGTAGCTGAGTCAATTTGATTGGCCTTGGACACCTGTGTGTGTGTGTGTGTGTGTGTGTGTGTGCAATTTGCATTTGGGCAACTCGTTTTTTTGTGACGTCACTTGGCGGAAGATTTTGCCAAAGAAAGTTACAAACTTAGTCACGTTTTGTTGTTGTTGTTGTTGTTGTTGTTAATGTCTTATCTTGCTGTAAAATGCGCATTATGTTTTTTTTTGACTCGACTCATTAATTTGAAGACAAAAACTAAAAAATAAAGCGAGCGGCAACAAAGCGATACGGCTTGAACTTGAGTTTAGGGTTTCACTTTTACAATACACAGAGAGCGACGCATAAAGCCAACGATGTCGATTCCTTTTGACTGATCAAATAGATTGGAGCACTGCCTGTTTTATTTATGGAACTGAACTCAATTCGAATTGCTGCCCGCTCCGCGCCTTTCCCAAATTCAAGTTCGTTGCCTAAGTCTTTTGTTTTTTTGGACAGAGCAAATGAACATTTGGAGCACGGCCATCAAATATTGCCAAATCGATGTTTGTAAGGAAATGTAAGTAAAGAGTGTTTCATTCTCGTATACCCACCTAGGCACAATAGGTATGCACTCAAATGCATTTTGTTTTTACTATTTTATTATTTTGTTTCGCGCTGTAAACAAAAGTTTCGGCTTGAGCTCTTATTTCATTTGCAATCAAATTTGAATTCAATTTGGAATTCCGTTGAATTTATAACGTTATTTAACACGACTTAACGAAACCGTCAGCGTTGACGCACTTAACGAAACCTCGCTCGCTCCAATGAAAATGAAAGTGTTAAGCGCGGCGGTGTTAAAAAAACCTTTATATATATAAGTATTTATATATATATATATTTTTTTTTGTTAAGAAATTTGTTCGCTTTATTATTATTAGCCACTTGCTGCTTATGAGCTGTTAATTGAGCCGCGTTATTGCTGGAATTTTGTAATATTTTTGTTGTTACTTATTTCGTTTGTTTATTTTTGTCGAATTGCATAAATCAATTTCACTCTGTAAATCAGACACAACTTTTTGTTGTTGTTTTTCACTTGAATCCAGATGACTTTTTGGTACTTTTTTTTTTAACAAAAAATTGTATTTCAGCTGTGGCTGTAGCTGTAGCAGTTGTGTCTGCGCCGCGGCTGCTTCCGTGTGCCGTTGCTGCCCGAGTTCGACTGAAATTGAAATTGAAACTTAAACTGCAAAAGACAAAACGATCCAACAACAGCCCCAGCCAGCAGCAGCAGCAGCAGCAACAGCAGCAACAACAACAACAACAGCAGCAGCAGGCAACACAATAAAAGCGCTTCAAGTCGCGCTCGCAGACAGCTTTAACTTTGGTTTTTAACCATGAGGGGGTCAGCGGGAGAGCGGGAGAGCGACGCCGGAGTGCGGGCCTCTCTTTTCATTTTGCTTTTGTGCATAGAGTGCGGAGTTAAGACCACGAAGGTAGCGCCGCAACGTACTGGGTTTTTACTTTCTTTCAGCGCTGTATTGATGGATCGCTTCGACGAGCAAGCTGTGCTTTAAATTCTGTAATTAACTGAGGCTTAACAAAAACACAAAAAAAAGAAACAAACAAACAAAAAATAAATAAACAAAAAAACAAAAAAGGCAACAAATACCAGCAGCTGCTGTCACTCCAGCTCATTCTGTGCACCTTCAAAGCAAACCCCAATGAACCCGCCTCCAGCATTAGCGCACTTCAGGTAATACCCAACATATTTAGTCGAAAACAATATTTTGCGCAACCTTCGCATGTTTTTGTTGTTTTCGGTTTCTGTTGTTTTTGTTGTAGTTACTGGAAATTAGTGTCTTGCCATCGACTATCGAGAGTGCGCGTTCAATGTGGCTTCGGATGATTCACGCACTCTGCTAGTTGGTTTCCCCCGGCCACCGTTTTTGGCCTACTTAAAATGCGAATCGATTATGAGCAAAGTTTTTCAGTCAAAAAAGGTCGAAATACTAGAGGTTTTTTTTTCAAACTCTTTTTCAATACAGTTCAGCAGAGCTGTGGAAAATCCCAAAGTGTTTTAGTTTTTTTAAGGTGAAATCCTTGACTTGTTTATCTTCAAAAGTTATACAAAAACCATGATAGATAAGCACTTTGGGTGCCATAACGATCAATTTAACTAGAGTTGCTGCCTTTTAATATGCAAAAGACCGACTACACCAAATTGAAGCTTTATTATAAAACAGAGGAAAAGAAATATACAAAATGTAAAACGGGTCATTAATTATATAGTAGCAAAGCTACGCAAGATCTAGATCAACTTATGCCAAAGGCCTCTTTTAAGACATTAATTTCTTAAAAAATCTAAATATTAAAGTAAATTTAATGGATCTGCTCTTCACAAATCGATGTGGTCTGAGGAGAAATGTAGGTCATCTTCCAAAAGACAAACTTCCTAATTGCGTGAAGTTCTTTGAAAGTTTAGGTCTGATCGGACTGAATGCTCATGCTCTGGAACAGTAACCCTCAGCCTCGGGCCATGTACATTGTTGAGCTCATCTATACCATCGATGCTGCAAAGGAGAGTGTGTGTGTGTGTGTGTGCTGCTGGCCGCGTCATTAACGACCGTGAAAATGAAAAGTATGGAGCGTGTGACCAACATAATTAATTTTGTATTCAAACTCATTCTGCGCCTCGAGCTGTTCGACAACAGCAAAAGTTAGAAAACATTACTTCTTATTTTTTGTTTATTACTATTATTTTTGCCTCATTGTTTGCGAGTTGTTGACACCTTTCAGGGGAAAAGCAACAAAGGCCATAAAACCATAATGGCAACATGTAACAAAAACTTTGCAGCTACTACACGAAAAGAAAACTGTCAATAAAAGCGAGCGTCTGGCTTAATGGCTGAGAAAATGTGACAATAACTTAATAAATTTATGTGGGTCTATGGAAATAAAGCCAAAGAAATATAACTAAAGACAAGTAGACAAAGTGTTGGCTTCAAATATTTTCGTTTGATTTGCGCGCGCTGGAGCTTTAAGCACTGCGCAGGCGCTTTTTAAGAGTGAATGAAGCGTGTGAAAGCTTTTGCACGTGCTGCACTTTCAAGCTTAAGCGAAGAGCTTTCGTTTAAGCAAGAGCTTTCTTTAAGGTTCTGCACGAGTTCAAATTATTCAGCACTTGAGGTTTAACTCTTGATATACATATATTTAAATAATATTTTCAAGTTTAATAAAATAAATAAATATATAAATCAATTATAAATCAAATTATAAATAAATAAATATATATATATATATATAAATAAATATTTAAACATTATTTTTAAAATATGTCGTCAATAAAAGTGAAGATAACAAATTTCACGCAAACTATTTACTGAGGATTATATTTTAAATTATTTTATAATACTATCCATTTCCAATTTTTATATTATTATCATTATATATTTATTGACTTAATTGATTTTATTTACAATTAAAAGCAGCTTGTAAGACATTAAATTAGCATTAAGAATTATACTACGACTACAATGCCATTGAAATGTTTGAACCATAAGCATTTAGGAATTGAATTCATATGCTTATCATATAATATATATATATATGTATTTATATAGAGAGATACTTTATAGAGTATTAGCAACGATTTGCTACAATATTTTTTTTGATCTTTCAGTTTAAAATTTGTTGACTTAAAGCTTTTGTGTCTAAGCTTAAGATTTGTCCTACATATTTATGTATATTCATATATTTTGCGAACAATTAACATTCAATAAAGTTGTACGACTTGCAGAGAGCGAGAGAGAGAGAGAGAGAGGGCGTGCATATCATATTTACAGTAGATGTAGTAGATAGTATCTTAGAGATACTCGTAAAACACAATCCAGTAGATGCAATTGAGGCTGGCAAATAGCGCCGGGAAGAGCACGCGCGACGATCGATCGATGTAGATGGCGCGCTTTAAACGCTCCTGGGCTGGCGTCAGCTTCGGCTTTGGCAATTCGGGCTCCGGTGCTGGCGGCGGCGGAGGCGGTGGCCGTATGGTTGGTGTCAATATTATATGCGACTCCTGGCGCGGAATCCAGGGACCGTCCGCATCTAACGGAGGACGTACCACGCGCCGTGTAGTGGTCACAATCTGCAAGAGCAACGTTCAAGGGATATAGAGTATTTCTCTCTCTCAATTTCCAATTGCTAACTTTAACTTACGCGCTTGTTTTTGGTCATCTCGTCGAATATCTTTTCAATCTTTTCAATTTTCTCATCCGCCAGGGGCAACATCGTGGGCTGTTTATTCGAGGCGGCATTGCTGCCGGCTGCTGGCCCTCCTTCCCCCTCCTTCTTGCCTGCCTCGCCCGCCACGGGCTTGGGCGGGTATGCAATGGGCTTAGGTATGGGCGTGTCACTGAGCACAATATTTATCAGGCAATATTCCATGAGGGCCATGAAGACGAACACCGTGCAGACGGACATGAAGGCATCCACAGCCTTCAAATAGGAGACGGGCGGCAAAGACGACTGCGACTTCGCATGCTGCGTGGAGAGCGTGAGCAGCGAGGTCACGCCCAGCGTGACACGAGCAGGCGCCGCCTCCGGCTTGATCCAGAAGGACACCCACGACATGATCACTATCATGCACGTCGGTATATAGGTGTTAAACACATAGTAGACCAGGCGCCGCTTCAGCGTGAACACCACCTCCAGGCACGTAAAGTTTCCCGTCGAATAGACCTGGGTGCAGTCAGCGGTCTCGTTCCGTATCAGCGCCACCTGCGGCAGCTCAATGTTCTCGTCCACCACCAGCGGCGTGGTGGGATCCCATTGAAAGATCAAATCATCCGTTGTGTGAGATACTGATAAAATATCCAAAGGAAATAATTAGATGAAATGATATAAATTTATAATTTGAAAAAATTCTATCGATTTTTATCGCATTTGCTCAAGTCTTCCATATATGTTAAATTATATATTCATTTATCTGAGCGAATAATAAATTCTACAAAAAAGCGAATTTCCTTCTCTGGTTTCGAATAATCGAAAATGCAACGCAAATACTTCTATCAAAATTTCTATACACACACCAGACAGAACATGATCTAGCGAATATTGAATATTATAATATAATATAGATAAGAATAAAACTCACAGCTCTCCATTTGCAGCTTGCACTCCTGTGTGTCATGTGGGTAGATGGCGAAATTCATGATGCAGGACAGTTTTAGCGTTAGCTTCACCATGTAGAGTATGGTCTTGTCCTTGTAGAGCCACATGTAGTGATTGGGAATGGTCATTGTTTGGAAGGTAACCGACTTGGCATTCTTGAAGAAGGAATCGGGTCGCCACATATTCTTCAGCCAGTCCACCTCGAGCAGACGGTACTCTTGCGTCATATTTTCGGGCAGCCGTAGGCGATGATCCTTCCAGGTTTGCGCGAAGAACACATCCGCCACATAGGTCATGGAGTTCTCGTCGATGGAGTCGAGGCCCATCACAGTAACGTGAAAATAAACTATGGTGGGCTGCCCCTCCTTCTTGGGCGGACGCATTTTGTCATAGCGCTTGATGTCCTCCGGCAGGATGTCGGTTATGGCCAGACTTTGTCTACAGAGTGTTTAATGTTAAGTTGGGGCTTCCAGCAGCTGTTGCCATACTCACTGAAATTCACCCTTGGCAAAGTGTTTCAAGCAAATGCAGCATATGACAAGCAGTATGATTTGAGCTACCATGTCTACAGATTGTTTCCTTCTGCAACGAGGGGAATATCATCTTGAGTACTTAAAGAGCTTGTCTTAGATCGATTGATGGCCGTGACACAACCCTTGCTGGGGATCAAAGCAAAACTCTCGAACGGTGTCACTGGCATTGACAATGCGTCGCATCGAGTGGAACGAAAATAGCGACAATTATGCTGCTTAACGGTGTAAATAAAATACGAACTAAAGGACAATGGCGGGGACAGTTAGCGCACTTCCTGCACAATAGCCTCGGCATTGCCAGCCTAACTACCTGTATATATACATATATATATATATATATATCTCTCTCTTTATCTATCTCTCTCTCTCTCTATATATATATATATATATATCCCCTCCTTCGCTACATCTCTCTCTCTCTCTTGCTCTGTCTACACGTGTAGCCCACAATACCGACTTAATTCACAATTAAAGCCACTCGAAGCGGGCGCGTGGGCGCTTTGTCGGCCAAGGGGCTAGGGCGGTGCTGCGGAGGGGCACTCCATAAGTGGCCCATGCGCCTTTTGTGCGCTGCCGATGCCGCAGCAGAGTGTACCCCCATTGAACGCGACACGGCGACGGCCTGAAGGCAGCGAATGCAACGGACGCATTAGACAAGGACAATTCACATGGTAAATGATGAAGCCGAGGTAGCTAGCGCCCTAGCCTACTAGACGTCATGGCCAACGAGCTGGGTAACTGGAAATTCCTATTCCATGTGCGTGTAAATAGGCCAACATGCTCAACTTATTTCTCAATTAAATCAAGCATCGACTTAACGGATATTATTAGTCGAAAATTATTGGATAGTTAAGAGCAAACATCAAATATTTTCGGAGAATTTTCTTTCACTAATAAAGTTTTAATATAGTTTAATTATTTTCTATTTTATTTCTATTAAGCCTTCACTTATGCGCCCCTAAATTTCAAATTGGGGAAACAGGAGGTGTATTTAAAATTTACTCTCTATGTGAAAAGCAAATATCGAGGCAATATATATATTAATTTTAAACTATGTGAGCAAGCTTATTCATTAATATATTCGTGTCGTATTTTCTTTTATATTTAAAAGAATTCCTTTGCTTGTTATTATAAAAAAACTAGTTAAAAAGCAGCATTTAGGTAATATTTATAAAAAAAAAAAAAAAAAAAAAAAAAAAAAAAAAAAAAAAAAACAGTGTAAGTATCTTAATAAATCAAGAAAATTGGATCAAACCTAAAGCATTCAGAAAACTTGGCTATTACCAATTTTAATTGAAATAATTAAATTATTAATATTAATCCTTGGGCAGGGTAAAGGAAAAATTCCTTAAAATTCATATTGACAAAATATATAGAATTCATATTTAAATAGCTTTTGCCTTCGTCAATTTAATAAATAATAAACATTTAAAAGATCTCAAATCTTTTAGAAAAATATCTCAAATAAAAAATAAAATTACTGAGTCACTTCAATTTCTTTGGGCTTTCTGTGAGCTGCATTATAATATAGCATTATATAATTTTATTTCATCTGAGGTATTACTGGGGTATTCTAATTACTTTTCGAATGGCTTAAAATTGCTGTAGCTATAGCAAACGAATGTGTTACACAGATTTTGAAATCCTCACGACGATTATATAACATCAGCTCGACGCAGTGTTAGACATTTTGCAGATCATTAAAACTAATTTTCAAATTTGATTTAACAGCTTTCAATTTAAAAAGTTTCTCTCTTCAAATATTATTTTCATATATTTATATATTTAATATATTTTTTTTTTATCTATTCTTTTTTAGCAATGTCCCAGTTAAATTCTCAACACTTTAATTTGTAATTATAAATTTATATTTGAGTTGAATATTTATGCCGATTTGAACGTCTTTGCTGTTCGAAGTGTCGCTGACAACTGACGTTTCGAGACGAGCGATTTGAATTTAAAACGTTGCCAGGCGAACAGGGCAGGAAAAAAAAAACTTATTTGCCAACGAACAGGCGCAGGATGCTGGATACAAGACGTGGATGCAGATGTATGGGTAGCTCTATGTGTGTGTGTGTGTGTGTGTGCTATTGAGACTATGTGGTTGAGTCGCTAAAAAAAACCTTTGCACGCTAGCAAAAAAAGTGAAAGCCCTGTGAGAACTAGAGAAAACTCTTTAATACAGACTGTTCTTGAGCGAGTATGCGATATATATGTGCCTATTGTCTATATATATACATATCTCTGTGTGTGTGTGTTTGTCTTGTCATAGTCACTTAACATAATTTTGTCAAGTGCTTTGGCATTGCCTTTCCACATAATCTGCTCGTGTCTCTGTCGTCATCGTCATTGTCATGTTATGAGCCAGGGTCTTCCATCCCAACCCCTCCACCTCCACAATCTCCCCCATTTCACCCAATCCCACAGTCACTCTAAGCTAGCATTCTGTACGTTTAGCTGCATTGCTGCTGTCGCCTATTGATTGCTTCTGGACCCTCAATCGCTTGGAATTCGCGTGAAAATCTGTCCCCAGTCTGCATTATGGGCAAACTGTTTCTTTAGTTGTTCCAATCAATTGGCTTGTTAGTTGCCACGAAACAAGGCAACAACTTCTCAAGTGGCTTCCCAAGAGCAGTGTTTCTCTCTCTCTCTCTCTCTCTCTCTCTCTCTCTCTCTCTCTCTCTCACTCTCTCTTTTTGTCGTAACGTTTGAATTTTGCTTTATTTCTTGTTTTATTGCAGCTGCCTGCAGTGCTGAAGGATTCCGAATGGCTGCTAATGGCAAGACGTCTTATGATAATCCAATGAACCCGCTGACGTCAAACGGAACCTGAAAATGCGAATATAAATGGAATGCATTAGTTGCTGACGCTAGTGAATTGATTAAGTTATTTGAATGAGAAATATTTAGTATAGTATCTACAGAGATAATGAGCTGGAGCGATTAATTATATGGCCTAAGAGAGATCTCAAAACGAAAGAGGATATATAAAAGTTAGTAAAAATACATCCAGATATTTGACAGGATACATAGAAATGCAGTATGTAGGAGATGCTGCAAGTGGTATACTGAAGAGAAAGAGAGAGAGAGAGAGAGAGAGAGAGAGAGAGAGAGAGAGAGAGAGAGAGAAAGAGAGAGAGAGATAGAAAGAACAGAAAGGAACGGCAAAAATGGCAGATAGCGTGGGAAAACAGGAAGGAAGGGAGAAAGCAGAATAACTGGAGAGGATCATGAGAAATAAAAGTTGACAGAAATCGGAGATAGAGCTTGATAGCTTGGATAAGCACGCAGAGAGAGAGGTATACGGAAAGAGAGACTTAAAAAATATGAGAGAGAAAAATGTGAAGAAAGAAAACCTACGCCTATAGAAAGATGGAGTGCCAGAATGAATAGAAAATATATAAGGAAACGAAAATAAAGAACTGCAGCAAGAAATGCAGATAAACAAAAACAATTAAAAATGAAGACAATGGAGTGGAAATGAAAGAGTCAATATAATTAAAAGGCAACCTATTATATATAAAGATAAATAAAATACTTTAATGAAAATAATAGATTAGAAAAAAGTTAAATAAACAGAATAAAAAGAAACTAAGGCAGAGCTAGATGAAATGTTAATCAAAGAAACTTTTAGCTTTGACGAAGGCCAACTCATCTATGATGAGACCTAGTCAAAGCTGAACGCAAGCCCTTATAATTCGTGTATGCAAATCATCTGAAAAACTGCACAGAAATACGTTTCAAATAAAACCGCAAGTGAATTAGTTTTTCATTAAAAAACCAGTAATTAAATTAAGTGGCCGAAGTGTTAGACGGAATCTGATGAGCCGTCTAGGACGAGCTACTTCACACACATACATATATAATTGAAAGACAAGACCGCGTGCCACCTGTGAGAGGGGGCGTCTATGTATCCATAGCTAACCTTGAAGCATATTACGCACACACACACACATACATACATACATACATATATCCATAAGATGCCTATGCTAAGGCGTGCGGCCTTTTGCCACGCTCATTGCAGCAGCAGCACTCAACGCCTTTGCCGTAGACACTTTAGCAACACATCCTTTGGCCTTCCGACAACAACAACAACAACAACAGCAACAGCAACAACAACTCGTCATCAGCATCGTTATTAAATTATCTCTGATGCGATAATAACACACACTTAAGTTGCTCGCCGTGGTTCTAACTAAGGTTTCCTCTCTTAGCGCCCTACCACGCCCCCTATTTTTCCCCTGCCCACGCTCGGTTGTGTTATAAAAAGCTGCTGAGTTTTCTATAGTTTATTCGAATGCAGTCGAGCGTGACGCTGCTTTTGGACCTGGACCTGAGTACTTGCCACAAGCTGTGGCTAGATGCGGCGTTTGCTTTTCAACCGAGCCCAAAATTGCCCCGCACCACCCGCTGCACTCATTGGGTCTCTGGTAGCCGCCTAAAGTGGTGCTCTTAACTTTCTGCTGATGGCAGCAGGCGGTGGTGCGAGGAGAGACGCGGGTAAAGATTCCTTCGCAATGTATTTTTTTCTTAGCTTGCATAGTTTTTATTAGACTTGTGGGGAGACTTTTCTATTTGGAATTTGTAAAATTCATTTTATATTCGCGCCTGTGAGTTGTGTCTTTGCGAAGGCTAAAAGGATAGCGAAGGTCGCTAAAAGTGTGAAAGAGCGAGTATTATTTCTCTGATTTCTATGAAGGCATCAAATATTCACACTTTACTCAGGAGTCAAAGGAGTCAACGGAATCTTTCCTAGCCAAAGGGCTAACAATTTTTATGAGGACACGATTTGTTCTCTGAGGGAATTTATAAATGTTTCGCGTTCTTTGACAAATCAGAGAAAGTTGTAATTTTTGCAGCACTCCTCAAATAAATCTTAAAACTTTTTCTAGAGATGTTTTGAGTACTCTTTCCATTCAAATCAGTCGTCTATCCGTCAGTTTAAGATCTGAGCTACTCATTCATCAGAGTTCTCTGGCATTTTTTGCTCACCTAATACCCACTTCGATGTTTAGCCATGAAAAGTGACTCAAATAAATTCAATAATCTAAACGAATATAAACAAATATCCTAATTATCAAGAGCCTATATCAAGAAATGATGCTGCTATCCACTCTATTTCAGGTGAGCTTTTTATTTTACCGGCTTCCGGTTTGCAACAATTTGTCCAACTATTCAAAAATTAATAAGACTTGTCTCTGTGCGTACGTGTTTGTGTGTATGTGACCCACATTGGGCCACACCACATGCGGAAGTCCATTGAATGGAAAGTTGCAGCCAGCTTGAACAACATCCAGCAACCCCAACTCCCCAAGGCGAGTTCCATTCATGAGACGAGGACATTGAACCGGCTTCGAAATGGTTAATAAGGGAGTTCCGTGCGGGGCTGGGCGAGCGGGGGGTGCCGCCCTTAGGGGTTGAAAGCAACAGTTGCCCAGGTGGAGAGCTACCCAGTGCGTCATTGTCGCCAATGTTGATAAACAAACCTGTAGCCGACTCTGTGGCAGCACGTGTGCCCCGCCGCTCGGTGGTTAGTTGGTTGTTGCATGCTCGGCTAGTGGTTGCGGTGCCAGGGGGTGGTTCGGCCGTGCGGCGCATGCGCCGGCTCCGAGCAGCTGAGCGCCTCGCTGTGACGTCGCTATTGATTTTTACACGGCCAGAAGACGCGCATCACTGCGCACTGCATTTCGTGCTGCCCCTCGAAATAGAATACAAAAAAAAAGAAGAAGAAGCGCACACACGAACGCACAAACACGCACAGAAAATGCATTAAACAAAAAACTGCAGTGAAATTTAATAATAATTGCTAACAAAATACCTAAACCCTTGGCTGGCAGGCAAAGGAGCTGCGCGCTGGCAATACGGAAGCGTGGCCCAACATGATTAAACTGCGACCATATGTGCCCTCCAAGCGCATCGCCATACGGGACTCCTCGATTGATGAGGACATCAGCGACGACGTGGACGATGAGGTGTTCATCAAGGACGCCAGATCCGCCAAGGTGAGTCACCAACTGAGCTCATCTCGCTTCTTTTTTTTTTTGTCGATGTAATAAATCAGCAAGAAAATTTGATGCTGCTCGCTGTGCTCAAGTTCGCGTTCCTAAATGCGCTTTCGCTTTCTTTTCACTCTCGCTTTAAGGGCGTCCCACAGATTTTTTTTCTACTTTTAGGCATATGCGAAAGCATTTGGAGGCCTTTCACTTGCATTCCCTGTTTGTTTTTTATATTAAGTTTAGATTCGTTTTGGCAGCTCGCCAAGTTCTATTTTAGGTTGACTTAGCCAAAAAAAAAAAAAAAAAAAAAAAAATTTATAGCAGATCTCAGAACGGCGAGGGATTATCGACGACATAATAAATTAAACTAAAAATTAGTAAATGTGCGGTTTAAGAAAAAAAGGAAAAAAAATAGAGCAAGAATATATATATTTGCATATGTGCGCAATGTGTATGTGAC